ACACGCATACACTCACTAGTGGATGTAGACAGACGGCAATCACATCAACACACCCACACTGACGCATACTGATTGACAAAATGGCTGAATTATTGATAGTGAATTGACCAGCGAGACGAGGAAACGGATGATTTCATGCATTTCGTCCGTTTCTCATGTCTCATCTTCACTCGATCTGGAAATGGGACCAAATGCAAGCCAAGCGAAGGCTACTTAAAATGCTCAAACAGAGGATGAAAGTAAGACAAATTACAAAGTGTTCATATTTGCGCCAAGATTTCGATTCGCATCCTTAGAATCTCGTGTTCCCAACCTATGATATATTTTCTTTCAAGAAATTATGCCAGAATCGCCCTGGTTACTGGTATGCCTGCTGTCCACCAAGTTACTTTTATTGTCTTCTTTGCCTCTAATACTTACGGTTTGAGTCTACCAGATTTCCCAAATTCTGCATCGTTATTTACTCGTTCCATTCCTCTAGCTGCACACATATACGCGGATACACACATATACATACAGATACACATTAACATGCATACATATAAATATATATTTATATTTATATTTATATATATTTATGGTTTTCGACACGGATTTCTCATAGTCTCAGAGAGCGCCAATCTCTGCCGTTATGCGATCTCTCCCAAGGTTTAGCTTTCTTTTTCAATAGGACAGCTTGCCAAAAGGCTGAAGAAAGTCTCATTTTATGCGGGTTCGTGAGGAGTACGGGAAAATTAGGTGCCAAGGAGACGAACGTTGGACGAGAGCACACCTACAAATTTGCCTCATTTAGCCATATTTTATAACCTGACTCTGACTTCTACTCGAATGCTGATTGTAGCCTTCTCCTCTCGGACGCTCAATAGACCTATTTTATAATTACCATCCTTACTCATTAGCCACATGCATCTGTAGCCCATATTTGTAGTGGTGATTTTTTTCTGTCTAGAAACTGTCTTAGTGCTTACACTTTTCCTTTAGGCCTATTTATTTTTCGCTCTTGCTATCAGATGATGTATTCTGGTGCACACGATTTTTGTCAAGATTACAACCGTTTGTAAAGCTGATTGTAATTTGGTCCAGGGCTCAGTATTCCTTTCACCAATGCATCCGTCTGTAATTCGCATTTTTTCTCTTCACTTGTTCTGTGCAGCTGCCAAACTGGCTTCTAACATGAAGCCAAGGCAGGCCTTGAAAACGCACAAAACCAGTCTGAAATAAACCAAAATCTACTTTAATTTTCGTGTAATTCAATCAATAAAATGACCACTCCAATCAACTTGATGTACACAAGCCCCTTGTCTTTTGGCTCCTTTCTGCCAAATGAATGTGTTACACGAGCATCATTAGAAATGTAGAGAATATTGCCGCCTTAAGTGGAGTTAATGCAGACGAGTATTTTGCGATACAGCAAGGATTTTATGGTCGGAGCCCCCGTCCGAAGGGCATGCCTGCGTCTAGTCCGATTCTCGCTGAAAGTGATGGAACACTTTTATTCATATTTCCTCAGAATGCAAGCAAATTGTAGTTTATGGTAGGCTTAACATCAGCAGAAACTTTATGTCCTATCCCAGTTGACTTGTAAGCATTAAGTTTACTCAGAAAGCCTGCAAGTACATGACAGAAAACGCGATACCTTTCCACGATCACATTACCGGCCGGTTGGGAAGGGAAATGGATGATCGGCGAGAAAGCATTAGCATAAAAATAAAAAAAAAATAAAAGGGTAACTACTACGCCATCGTTGCCCTATTCGACCAGCATAGCTGAATTATGGTTGAGTTTGCCAAAAATCTGATTACTAAGTCTCAGTAGGCCAATTAATTTCACATTTAAGTATTGTTTCGAGACTACCAGTATATCAGTAGTATGAGATGTATTCACCCAATTTCGTTTAAGGTGATGAAGGACTG